CTTTTTAGTTTATTTTGGGTTTTGTTGATGTTGTTGTTGTTGTCATTGTACTGTTGACTGTTAAAATTCAGTCGTTTGATTTCTATATTCCTTCCACATTCCAGTGGAGCCCAAGAGGTAGATAGTGCTTTTTCCAACCTCCAACTTGTGTTATTAACAATCAGTGCTTCAACATTTGCAGATGTGGGTTAGAGATGCAGCAATTAGGAAATCTGTTACCATGTAGGAGCAAACAGTGATGACCCTGAATTACACAGGGAAAGCAAATTTTAATACCTGCTGACAGATTGAATTTCTCTCTAAAAATGTCAACACTAAATGTTCAAACTAATAAGGACTTGAACTGTGATGCTGTACTACTGTTTTCACTGTTGTAGACTGTCAGCACTTCAGTTGCTTAACTTTATTTGTAAGATCAGGTTTTTTGTTTTAATATTTTCAAAACTTAGTCAATGCTACAATTGTACTACAAACTTAAAAGTGAAAAATGATAGTATTGTAGCTTCAAGAAACTCAGGAACTTTTTCATATAAAAGAGCTGCTGCATCTCAATTCCTTTATCTCTGTTATTTTTTATTTTATGATCAAAAATTCTCATCAAGCCATCTAATATAAAATCTCATTGCTATTTCTAAATTTAGAAATATTTTGTTTTCCACTACAGTCTTCTAAAAATCTCTTCGTGTTTAGTCTTTTGTGTTCATTTCCAATCTCTCAAATGCATCCGAGACTTCTGAGTGCTTTCTTATATCCTCAGGTATAATAAATAGTCTTTTAGACCATTTTTCATATAATCATAGACTCATTATGGTTGGAAAGACCACTTCTTCTATTCCAGCTATCAACCCATACCTGTGACCACTCTAAACCATGTCTGTCAGTGCCAGATCTATGCATTTCTTGAACACTTCCAGGACATTGACTCCCCCACTTCCCTGGGCAGCCTGTGCCAATGCTTCACCACTCTTTCTGAGAAAAGCTTTTCATACTATCCAAAGTGAATCTTTCCTGACAGAGCTTGAAGCCATTTCCTCTCATCCTATCATCCTCCCTGTTACGTGGGAGAAGAGGCCAACACCTACCTCACTATAACCTCTTATCATGGAGCTGTAGAGAAAGATAAGGTCTCCCCTGAGCCTCCTCTTCTCCAAACTTAAATAATCCCAATTCCTTCAGCCACTCCATATAAGACTTGTGCTCCAGATCTCACACAGTTTCGTTACCCTTCCCTGGACACGCTCCTGGGCCTTGATGTTTTTCTTCTAGTGAGTGGCCCAAAATTGAACACCATACCGGACGTGCAGCCTCTCCAGAGCTGAATTCTGGGGATGATCTCCTCCCTGCTCCTGCTGGCTGCATTATTTTTGATACAAACCAGGATGCCATCGGCCTTTTTGGCCACCTGTGCACACTGCTGGCTCATGTTCAGCCTGATGTCAGCTAACACCCCCAGGTCCTTTTCCTACACACAGCCTTCCAAACACTGACCCAAGCCTGTGTGACCTCAGCAATTACACAGATTTCCGTTTGGTCATTTATTTGTCCTTTCACCTACTATGTGATTTTATCACTTTCATAAGCTACCAGAATTAGTTTGTTAGATCATTAATGATTCAGGCAATTTGTTGGACCTCTGCAGATATATTCTGGTATGTAAAAATTTGACAAATTTTACTAAGATGCACTCCAGCAGCAATACTTCTACCTTTCTTGAAAGGGCATAAAATTAGTGAATCAGCCTTAACTGCCTTTCTTGTCAGTATGTCACAACTTTAGTGCCCTTTTAATTGCGTGGGAACCTTTCAAGTGTGTTATTTAGATTCAGAGGTGAATCTGAAGGAAGCATGAAACATTTTTTTACTGCCACTGCTCACGTCTAGCAAATGCAAAGCTATTAGGAAACAGGTCCTCTGGAATGACCCCATATATGAAGAAGTGCAAAGAAAAAAGGGCCCTTTCCCAGTGGGGAGGACTAACATGGCAGTTCTGATAGCAAAAATGGAGCATCATTCTTTCATTCCCTGTTCACATTTGAAATGCAGCAGTCACTGTAGTATGTAGGCATCAGTAAGAGAAGAATGAGGACTGAGATTAAAGAAGCTGATCTGAGCTGGGTTAAATACTACCTGCATTGACTGTCTTTCTATTTTGTGGTCCAGATTTTTGTCAGGAGAAAGGGGCAGGAGTATATTTCAGGATGGCTTTTTTTAGTGTATAACATGAAGGTGGTAATGTGGGAAAATACGGAGCCATAAAATTGGTTATTTTCCAATTATCATGTATTTCAAGCCAAAGGGGGGGGGGGGAAAACCAAGAACACAAAGGAAAAGAAATGATCGTTCTTATTTTAGCATTTCTTAAAATGAAGCAGGGAGTAGTCATTTGAATTCTGAACTCCCACCACACACTTATTAGACAAATTCTAATATGTGCTGTGGTTTCAAAATGTCTTCTGGAAACAGAACATTATTTAGAATAAGTTTGTAATCAGTTGAAATCTATCGATGACGACTCATCTAGCAGTTAGTTTCCCTGGCCTCAGCGCAGGGGTAGAACTGGATAATCTTTGAGGTTCCTTCCAACCCAAGCCATTGTGTGATTAAATTCCAAGTTAAGCTCCAAGTGCCCTTGCAAGTCAGAATAAAAGCTGTAATCTGACCAACCCATAGTCGCATGCTGATGTTAGAGTTGCAAGTAGCTGGGTGTTGTGTTAGAGGCAGATTTTCAGTCCTCTCTTCTCATTCTCACTCCGACACCTTACATACAGAGTCTGCCTGGGACATGGTTGTTTAGTAAGAGAAAGCTGCCATTACACAGCTGCTCTGATGCAAATCATTCAAATCTTTGGCCTCATCCAGGTAGAAAATATCAAAGAAACGGGATTGTGCAATATAGAATAACTCTTGATTCGAACCATTAGAACCACTATTTAGAAGAACCATTTGAATTGGAGTGGACCTCTAATCATCATCTAGTTCAGCTCCCCTGCAATGAATAGGGACACGTACAGGTCAGTCAGGGTGCTCAGAGCCCTGTCCATCTACATGTTCACTATCTTCTTTCATGTATCCAGCACATGAAACAGACCTAGTAAAAACCCTGATATCATGGTGTTCCATCTTTATGCAGAAGACTGATACTGTGTGAGCTACAGAAATGGAGGATCTTTCTTGTTAAGTTCACCTTTTGTGTTTGCCAAAAAGAAATGTTAAGTCTTTTATAATGAAATAGCAGTTTTAGACAAATCCCTGGTTGGAAGATGGTTATTTACTAAATGAATTGTAGAGCGGAAGAATAGAACAAGTATGACTCACATAGAGAAAACATAAATCCTAGACTGGGATAAATATTTCAGAAGTAAATCCCACTTTACAAAACTATACAGGTTTGTAGGAGCATTAGTCCCTTCAAGGCTTTTTAATCACCGAGAATTTTGAAGATGTGCTGTAGGTGAAAGAAATAAGAAACGATCTAAAGAATAATTCTGAAAGACAGTCTGTATGTAGGAGTGTCTGTTCTCCTGACATGCAAAATTTCAGCTGCAGTTGGTAAAGTCACAGGTACGTGGGAAGATTGAAGAGCCTATATCCCAGCAGTGCTTCCCAGCTGATTGCCAAAGTAGACACTGTCACTTAGAAAATTCAATAAACATTGCGAAAGAAGCTCAGTGGAAAATGAGCCTAAATGTAACAAGAGGAAAAATTAAAGTAAGGAAATAAATAAATAAATAAATACACAGAAGCCCAAATTAAACCACTCTGGTAAGGCATTTTGATGGTAGCTAGCGACTGTACAAAATGTGGGATCTTGGAAATGTCAAATGTGGTTATCCAGTGAAAAGTTAAAGGGCATCAAATAAAATGAATTAGCTGTTAAAGACATTCTGGAAATGGAGCCAGTGTGAACAGCAAATTATTGAACAAAAATAATGCTGAAATTTCTGCTAGGGGAAAATGAGAACGTTGCTGTCCTACAGAACTCTCACGTAGCTCAAACAGCAGCAAACAGGGAGCAAACTGATAGTGACAGTGATAGAAAGAGAAAGAATGGCTTTAAGTTGGTCCATGGGAGGTTCAGGTTGGATAATAAGAAAAATTTATTCTCAGAAAGAGTGGTCAGGCACTGGAACAGGCTGCCAGGGAGCTGGTAGAGTCACCATCCCTGGAGGTGCTCAGGAACTGGGGAGATGTGTCACTGAGGGACATGGTTTAATGGGAATGTGTGATGGGCTGATGGTTGGACTGGATGATTTCTTCCAGCCTTAACGAAGCTATGATTCTATGATTCTAGATCCTGCTTTTGAAGCAGTCAGTGTAATAAAACGCTGAAATGTGGGGGACATCATTTTCTCTTTGCTGGCATCAGTATGCAACATCTTACTCTTCAAAGTGTCACTGACTCAGTGAAATGAATCGTTGTCCACCCCCTCTCAAGTTAGTCTTCAGCTCGCATGGGTAGATCTCCCAGTTTGAGGTTGAGTTGTGATTCCCTGTGTTGCTGGAGCATTGCCTTTACGTAGTTGGTTTCAAGAAATAAAAGCTTTTTTCAAAAACCTTATTTCTGGGGACAATTGGACTTTGATGTACTTCCTGCAGCTTAGTGAGATTTTATACTCAGTACTTGAATAATTAATAACTTCAGTGCATCATTCCATTGACCCTGTCAAGGTATCTCATTGTTTGCAAGAAGAAATGATATAGTAGTGATCTGTTTTTAACATCCCTTTTGCAGACTGCAGCGTACTCAGTAACACATTTTAAACCTAATTCTCTTCATTGAAATCAAGGAAAGAGGGACTGCACAGTCAGTATGGAAAGTGCTGAAAGTTTCATGTACTGCAATAAAAAAAGCTGTGTATTTACCGAAGAGATTCTACTAGACCTCAATTTTCAGGACATGCTTTACTCTTGTTAATTTAATATTTACATTTAGCAGCCTTAATGATTATATAGGTCAAGAAGACTAAAATATTCTTATTCTGTGTTTTTTTATCTCCTCAGAGTACGCTCGGTTTGAGGCAAAAATCCATGACCTGCGTGAGCAGATGATGAATCACAGCATGAGTTCTGGGTCTGGCTCCCTGAGGACTAATCAGAAGAGGTCGCTGTATGTCAGGTGAGCAGGGAGAGCTTTCTCCTGGGGACATGTCACCAGCTTTCTGGTCCACGACTGATTTTTGTGCAATGGGTTCAGCTGGGTAGTGAGGAGGTTTGAGGAGCTGAACTGAACTGAATTGAGAAATGCATCAATCTTACAAACACAACATCATTAATGTGAAAATTGAATAATGCTGTATTGCTTAATCTTATCATTTCAAGCTGTTTTCAAAGAGCATTATACTTTTATAGCGATTAGGTTTTATGAGATGAAGATTTCTTAGCCATTGTCAGCTCTTCGATATCCAAGATGGATTTTGTGGTGTAGTGACGCATTGCGATCCTGCATGGGGCCTTAACCAGACATGGAACGTTTGTTCTCATAAAATGTACATTCTCTGTGAATTATACTCCAAAGCAAAGACCTTCACATACCGTTCTAAGCATGTGCCAGTCTGCAGTTGTCCCCTTGCTCGTAGAATCATAGAATCATTAAGGTTGGAAAAGACCTCTTAGGTCATCTAGTCCAACCATCCACCTACCACCAGTATTGCCCACTAACCACATCCCTCAGTGCCACATCTAAATGTTTCTTGAACACCTCCAAGGATGGTGACTCCATCACCTCCCAGGGCAGCCTGTTCCAATGTCTCACCACTCTTGCTGAGAAAAGTTTTTCCTACTTCCAACCTGAACCTCTCCTGGCACAACTTGAGGCCATTCTCTCTCATCCAATTGCTTGTTGCACAGGAGAAGAGGCCAAGTCCCAGCTTATTACAACCTCCTTTCAGGGAATTGAAGTGACTGATAAGGTCTCCCCTGAGCCTCCTCTTCTCCATATTACAATAAATTTACCATCTACCTTGCAAGATCAAATATGCAGATGAGACACTTAACAAGATAATATAGGTAGCTTAAATGGGGCAGTGAGCAACACAGGAATTACCTAACTGTGGGCCAGGTGTAGCAGTTACAGTTTTGCTTGGACTGAGCAAGTCTGTTGATGGAAATTATTTCTGGCTGAAAGACCAGAGTTCTGAAATTAGCCCTAGAAAAGTTCTCGCTGTCACTCATGCCTTTGGAGACCCTGGGAGACTATAGAACTCAGTGCCAAATATTTTAATAATCTTAATAAATATGCTTCTCTAGGTTTTTCATTTTTATTTTTTTCCCTCATGCTCAGCATATAATTTGAAATTTCTGACAATCATGAAGTAAAGGGAAGCAATTTGTCAGCCTCCAGGCAGTGATAATTATTCATGGGGGAGCTAATTCAGGTGATAACATTGCAGAGATCCAATTAAGGCTAAATTCTCCATTTTGTCATTATGCCCTCAACATGAAGGGATAAAGTAACACAGAAGGATGGAAAAAAATGCTGTCACTGATAGACTCATTCTAGTGAACAGCAACCACATTGAGCTCTAATTGGTACTGTTGCCAGAAAAGGCAAGAACTGACGTGCTGTGGATCAGTGCTAGCAGAGAACTATTGGACAAGATCAGGTTGAAAGTGTCATGGCTTTGATGTATCTCTGACCTGTTCTGGCCTCTCTGGCTTTGAGTTGACTTCTGAAGCTATTCCACCTTGACTGGGTATTTTCCAGACCTAACAATGAGTGATTTAGTTGTAGAGAGTTTTGGTCAAACACTTGAAATTGCATTTTCAGAAAAGCTACAGTCACTGCACATGTAGAAACAGATGAAGCTTGCTTTGCTGTGAGCAAAGCCAGGAAATCAAAATGTAGGTAACAATGGCATGAGAAATCCACACCGGCAACCACAAGTCAATTCAAGTATACACACAAAGGGTCCTGAACAATTTGCTAGTTTGAGCTTCATGAGAACTTATTACCCCTCTATCAGCATGGATCTGGTAAGCCCTGCGCCAGAATCAGGGCTTATTAGCTTCCACACTAAGCCAAGCTAATAAATCTCTGCAGAATCTGGAGTAGCCTTGGTCCTCTATGTTTTCTACTAACTTATGTATTCTGGATATGGTCTGTTCTCACTGAGATGATATGCCTTGGGGCTTCACTGCAGATGTCTTTGTGGTCTTAGCCACATATCTAAATATCACTTCCCCAATCATAAGTGCAACATTTGTTTTTTTATTCCAGACTTGTTCCAAAAGAATACCCCAAACCTCTAAAGAAAAAAACCTCAAAAGCCTCCGTCACATTTATTAACGTAAATTTGTGCAATCAAACCCACACAGATGGCTGTGTCCAACTCCGAGAAATCTACTTGGGAAACTCTGTATTTTAAATATTATTATAATGTGCAGTGCAGCAGTGCCTGGAGCACTGAACTAAGCACTGCTTCTTCAAATCATGCAGTAATTAAAAAGGTAGCTTATGTCTACATTAAGCACTGTGGAAAAAAATAAATATGGATTGGGAAATGTGCTTGTTTACTGAGATTAAAATTTTCAGTGCACTTCACGGATAACTCTTTACAGCCAGTGACCCTGTAAAATGCCTGGGATTCAGTGTACTTTAGAATTCTTATACCTCAAGGTATTCCTACTTCAGTGGCTTATCCTGGAGAGAATCTGCAAAAGAACTAGAGGCAAATTACCGTACATTGCAAATCTGCAGTTGTAAAGACAAGTTAACGATTTTCTCTCTGTTTTCCTTTCTTTGGTTATGTAGTGATTTCGCTGTCCTTCACTGAACATAACCAAAGTTATTTTTCAGCCGGAGTGCTTAATCAAAGCAAATACCATTGCAAGGAAATAAAATAAAGATCCACGTAGGTTGAAAATACCTATCATAATCTGCTCATCGAAAAGCCAACAGAAAAGAATATGAGAAAAACCAACTCTCTGTGAGGAGACCTCCCAGTAGATGCAGGGCTCATTACTTCTCATGCATTCTCTGATTTCCCCCAACCCCAACATTTGCTGGGCTGTGGGATTTCACCTCTGTTTTGAGGACCCCCATCTCAGCCTGCAAGCACCTTCCTTCAGTCTCTCTGCTGTCTTGGAAAACTCTTCAGAAAACATGGCATGCCAATAAGCCGTTTTTTGATCCATCATTTTATTTGCTTGTGGTCCACTATGCAAACCTCGTCTTCACTGTGTTTGCTTTGTTTCCCTTAATGCTTAATGACCAGAGTATTCATCTATATCTTAGCTAGTCACTCTGAGGTTCCCTTTGGATGGAAAGAGAAGGGCATCTCCAGAGAGGGAATCTGCCTGCATCTTATTCATCTAACCTGTTCTAGACAACTGTGACAAAAGTATTCTCTCCGTAGAAACTTAGGTTTCTACATCTGTATCTAGAGAGCAATCCAGACTCCCAGTGTAATAGCACAGTATTTTAACTGAGATGTATAAAAGTAGTTACATGAAATGAAGAGAGGTGAAAGTGTAGCACAGAGTTAATAGTTTCAATGTAAGGCTAGAATTAGTCAGCTGATAGAAATTAAAAGTCATACATAAATGCAGATTCCACAGGAAAACAATTGAAAATTATTTATTCAGGATAAATTGTGTCACCTTTTGACACAGACTTTTTTTTGTGCATACTTCAGTGTTTCTGTCTTGTTGTTGTTGTTGTTGTTGTTATTCATTATCCCAGCCTGTATTCAGACTTTCTGCTGCCTCTTAGAATATTTTCCAGGAATTTACTGAAAAGTTTTTTATGTACTGCCTGTTCCTTTTGTATCAGAAAAGCTATGTCTCTGTTTGGGGTGTTTTCAGAGAGTTCACATCACTAATAACAAAGTATTAAGAGACATCAAGGCAGAACTGAGCAGTGGGACATGCTGTTAATTAGGACCCCACATTCTCTTTGTCGCTTAATATCTCCAATGAGGAAAAAAACCACCGAAACAGAAAGTGTGAAGCAGCATGTTCTATTATTTATAATTCATTCGTTGCTAGTGGTGAATGAACTTAATTTGAATTCAATAAGTGACATGAGAAGATAAAAAATTCCACTCTTATCCTTTCTAATTCATTGGAATTCAGCTATCAGCTCATGATTAATGAGGGAAGTAAACAAACTTTTCACCAACTAAATGCTGCACTGTATACACACATAGGTCCTTTCAATTTTTTTGATGCAAATTCTTACCTTCACTTTTTTTTGTCTTTTAAGTTCAAGTTTTTAAAATCTGCTCCTGTAAGACTGTGTATTTCATTGTCTTAAAATAGATGCATGCTTTGCTATGTTCTTCTAGATCCGGATTCACAGCCAAATGTTTTTAGCCAGCATGTGGGTACTCTTAAGAAATGCCAGATTACATTATTCAACCCAAAGACTGAAAAATGGCAGTGCTTTGAAGAGTCAAGCATTAGGGAAATGCAGTCCTTTGTGAAGTTTGGTGCATGCAAGCAGCCACTGAAACTTCCATGTAAAATTATCTACCTTTGGAGGAAACAGATCTACACGTGATGAAGGGTTTTTCTTCTGTTGATTTACTTGATTCCTCCTGAACTTAAAGTACATGTTCTATATTTCTGAGGGTAAAAGTAGATACTTCAGTAACACATGCCTTATTGCTGCCAGATGCACAAAGAAAAGGCTTTCAAGCAACCACAGGGATTCCAAGAGTTGCTTTCTTATGTTTTGCGATTGATAAGTTTGGAATAAACAGACAGAGTGCATTTAATCTTTATTCAGACCAGACAACTTCTGAAATAATGGCTGTAATTAAAAATTTCAATGGGCCAAAACCACAATCAGGTGCTGAGCTGCTGTATCACTCAGCAGTAATGACTCAAAAGCTTTATCAACACCCCTGTCCTGCCACTGCTGTTCTACTGTTTAAAATCTGTTTGATACAGTCAGTGCAAAATCGCTGCACCTGATTGTGGCTGTTTGCCCTCTATAAAGGGACTGGTTGAGGTCATGGAAATGCAGATATCTCAGCTACAGCACTGCTTTCAAATCTATCAGTATAAAGCAAATTGTACTAATACGTGTTAAGGTGGGTGTGGAAATCAGAGCTGGGATAGGTCTAGATCCAGCTGTAATTTTGGGAGCTGGAATTTCTCCTAAATTGAATTAAT